AATAAAAATGCTATGGACTTTTGTTCTGCTTGTTGCCTTGGTAAGGCTCACAGATTACCATCCCATCCTTCTACAACTGTATTTCATTCTCCTTTTGAATTGATTTACACTGACTTATGGGGACCAGCTCCTATTCAATCCCTTGATGGTTATTGTTACTATATATCCTTTATTGATGCCTTCACTAAGTATACTTGGATATATTTTCTCAAAAAGAAATCTGATGCCTTCTTAGCTTTTCAAAACTTCTATCAATATATCTTCAATCAATTTCATGTTTCTATCAAATCTTTACAATCTGATTGGGGAGGAGAATTCAGGTCATTCACTAAGTTTCTGACTGATAAGGGTATCAATCATAGAGTTATATGTCCTCATACACATCATCAAAATGGTGTAGTAGAGAGGAAACATCGCACCATTGTTGAAAAAGGTCTATGTCTTTTAGCTCATTCCTCTCTACCATTCAAATTCTGGGACACTGCATTTGCTACTGCAGTACATCTTATCAACAAACTTCCATCTAAATCTATTGTCAATCTCAGCCCTCACTTCAAACTTTATGGCACCCTTCCTGATTACAATTTCCTCAAAGTCTTTGGTTGCTCTTGCTATCCATTCATTAGACCTTACAACAAACATAAAATGGATTATCACTCTAAGGAATGTGTTTTTCTGGGATACTCATCTCATCATAAAGGCTACAAATGTCTTTCTCCCTGTGGCAGAATTTACATTTCCAGGGATGTCATCTTTAATGAAACTAGATTTCCATATCCCACTCTTTTTCCCTCAACATCCACTTCATCCACTAGTATTCCAGTTTCCCTCTCAGCTCCAATAAAAATTCTTCCTACTTCCTTATCATCACAGCCTCAATCTGACAATGATGTCAATACTTATTCCAGTTCCTCTTCTTTACACACTTCTTCATCCCCTACACCTCAAGATAATACTGCCTCACATAATCATCATCAATCTTCCAATAACTCAACTTCTTCTAACCACCAAAATAACACATCTGACAATTCTCACTCTCCATCATTCTCTGATTCCTCCTCTTCCACATCCCCAAGTCTTCCCCATAACTCTCATCCCATGCAAACCAGGTCAAAATCTGGGATTGTCAAGCCTAGACTTAATCCAACTTTACTGTTGGCCCATATAGAGCCCAAATCAGTTAAGCAAGCTCTTTCTTCTCCACCTTGGCTTGCAGCCATGCAATCTGAATACAATGCCTTGATATCTAACAAAACTTGGTCTCTAGTCACTCTTCCTCCAGGCAAACAGGTTATTGGCTGCAAGTGGGTATTCAGAGTAAAGGAAAATCCTGATGGTTCTGTGAATAAGTTCAAAGCCAGGCTGGTGGCAAAAGGGTTTCATCAGAGGTTTGGATTTGACTTTGGAGAAACATTTTCTCCAGTAGTCAAACCTGTCACAATCAGAATATTGCTTACACTTGCTGTCTCTCACCAATGGTCTATACAGCAACTTGATATAAATAATGCCTTTCTCAATGGGGATCTTGAGGAAGAGGTCTACATGTCACAACCTCCTGGTTTTCAGGCCAAAGATACCTCCCTTGTCTGTAGACTACATAAATCTTTATATGGCCTCAAACAAGCTCCAAGGGCTTGGTTTCACAAGCTCACTTCAGTCTTATACAATGCTGGTTTCAAACAGAGCAAGAGTGATCCTTCTCTTCTTCTATACCTCAAACCTGGGATCCAAATTTACATTCTCATCTATGTTGATGACATTCTTGTCATTGGCAACAATTCCACAGTTATCCAACAAATCATTCAAACCCTTCACTGTTCCTTTTCTCTAAAACATCTGGGAGATATTGATTTCTTTTTAGGAATCCAAGTTAAAAAGCTCCCTCATGGTTGCCTGCACCTCTCACAAGCCAAATACATCAGAGATCTTCTTCACAAAGTTGGAATGACAGATTCTAAGGGTGTGAAAACACCTATGGTGAGTACCTGTAAGCTCACCAATGAAGGAAGTGACCCTCTTCCTGATCCCTCTCATTACAGATCTGTTGTTGGAATTCTGCAGTATGCTACTCTAACCAGACCTGAACTTAGCTATGCTGTAAATAAGGTGTGTCAGTTTATGAGTAATCCTCTACAAGACCACTGGAAAGCTGTGAAACATATACTGAGATATCTATCTGGCACTATTACTCATGGACTGATTATCAAACCTCTTCCCTTGACAAAAATACCTCTACCAATCTCACCATTCTGTGATGCTGACTGGGCATCAGATCCTACAGACAGAAAATCTACATCTGGATCATGCATTTTCCTAGGCTCTAATATTATCTCCTGGTGGTCTAGGAAACAACTGAGGGTAGCAAGATCTTCAGCTGAAGCTGAATACAGAAGCCTAGCAGACACTACATCAGAACTTTTATGGGTTCAATTTTTACTCAAAGAACTTCAAGCCCCTTTTAAAACTCCAAGAATTTACTGTGACAATCTCAGCACTGTACAGCTAGCTCACAATCCTGTCCTACATTCTCGCATAAAACATATGGAAATTGATCTTTTCTTTGTCAGAGAGAAAGTTCATCTCAAACAGCTTGAAGTTTTCCACATTCCAGCCTCCCAACAAATTGCAGATGTGTTGACTAAGCCTCTATCTGCTTCCACCTTTCTTGAGTTCAAAGACAAACTGAGTGTGATTGATTTTCCAGTTCAATCACCCTCAATTTGAGGGGGGAATGTTAGGAATAGTATATAAAAGCTACACGTACATTGCTTTGTAATTAATGTTAGTTGGGCTTCTGTTATATTAGCTACAGTTAGTTACAACCATAGCTTCTATAAATACTCTGTACACTTTCTATTTCTGAATAAGATGATTTCACTTCTTTCTTCTACCTTGCTCTATTTCTAATACATATCAACTTATATGGCATTTGCAGAACTTACCCCTGAACTTGTAAAGAACTACTCGAGAAGATATGTAGTTACTACTCTCCCTAATAGGCGTCTATGAAGATCCATATTTGTTAGCTCCTAGATTGTGTGTGGACCTTTTAGAATTTGGAGGACGATGACATATCCTTCCTAGTAATTACTTATCACTTCTGGGGTAAAGGTCAACGAGTGTGCCATTTGCCAATAGTACACATTCATGATCCATCACAGTTTTGGGGCTCATTTAATGGTGTCTCCTTACTCCCTCCCACTATGGGGGTAGGGGGTAGGGTGTGTGTGGGGTGTCAAATGGTGCTCCCAAGTCTTCTTGATAGTCCCTAACAATTCCCACTAACAGAAAATACTTTTCTGTGGGTGCGTGTGGGGTGTCAAAGGGTGCAATGGAAAATTATGTAATCAATTCCCACAATCAACTTGTTGCATATGTTTCCCCAATAACAATGAGTTTAGCAAGCTCAACCAAACTAAGTAGCACGTGAAATGGGAAACGGGAAACACGAGAAACGTGATCTCTAGAAAACATATGATACGAAACGTGGGGGAACGCGTAAATATTAAAAAATATAAGGATATATTTGTAAACATTTTTCACTTATGTACACATCTTTTTTCATTTATATATATATATATATATATATATATATATATTCACATGATATTTTCCTATAACTTGCTTAATAGTCCAATAATAAAAACATTCTACATGTTCAAATTTAAAATAATTGCATATTATTACATAATTTAAACATAGAATGCATTTCATTCGTAGCAATGCATTGCTTTATGATATGCCACAATGTTGCTACCCAAGAAATTTGAATAGAAAAAGGTGTTTATACGATCTCAACAGACTTCCCAGAATCAATAAACATCGTTCCTTTTGGGCGTTCCACCCTCTAGAAAGGACACAGGTAAGGAGTGGTCAAGAGGTACGGTGTTCCTTTTACCTGTCCGACTGCCTAGACTGCAAATGCATGGAATGTAAGGTCTCAGACGATGTTCCCTTAGGCAATCCTCTTAGGAAATTCCTGAACATTTTCGGCTTTTGCTTGCTTGTGCTCAGGTTCTCCTCCCGGTCTTTGTTTTTTTGTCTTATTTCTTGAGATTCCGTAGGAAACTCATTTTCACCCCAAGCATGTTCTAAATATCACTCATGGAGTCAAGTTTAACCAAACATTACGCAAAATAGACACTAAAAAGGGGTTAAATAGAATACAACTGACAAACAGAGACTAAGAGCATCTCCAATGGCACGATGTGCACGGTGCACATGTGGCATGAGAGAGATAGACACATAAATATTAGTAAGCAAATTATCTCTCTCCTTATTTGAATGGTCTTATATGTTTATGGTAAGTTTTTCTCCACAATATCAAGAAAAGTGTCTAGATGTAGATATTATGGTTGACATTGTTGAGACTTGAGAAAAAGTTACCAAAATTATATAAAAACTTGGAAAGAAAGAGAAATGTCATTGATCTGTTTTTTCGTGTATCTCTCGCATGCCACATGTGCACCGTGCACATTATGGCATTGGAGATGCTCTAAGTTTCACACCTATCACCACTCTGCCTGTGTCATTTACCGGGAGTCATTTTTTGCTTTTCAAATCATTTATTTGTGTCCTGAGTATAAGTTTCCTGTTTTGAATCCTGAAATTCCATAAATACACTGTCAGATTCACACCCAATACCTTAGTAGACAAGTAGATACAATGATACGGTATCGTTTCCTTTTTGTATTAGTTTAACGCTAAATAAGCACATTCTGCTGCTTAGCAAAAACAGTAATATTTTAGGGTTGTGGCAAAGGCTTCTTTGAGCTACTGTAACTCAATTTTCTATTTGTACAAGGAATATTGTGTCTTTGCAAAATATTTCTACACCTTTGTTTCATGGTTTTACTGCCTTACATTCTCGATTACCAAGTACGTTTCCACCAATCAGTTTTTTGGCTATCAATTGGAAGGAAAAAGAGTTGTCAATTTATTTATCATTTCCCCTCAGTTTTGGTGCATTCCGCCGTACCAATTGTCAGATACTGTTTCAGGCCTAAATCCAACCATCATTGGGAGCTTTAGTGCATTGAGTGCATTCATGGGCATTGCAGCTACTTTTGGGTCTGCACAAATGGTCAAGAGATTTGGCATTTTAAAGGTTTCTTTCCATGCATGCTGCCTGTTACTACTGGCTGGTTTGATATTTAGTCCTGTTATTATTTAATTGCTTGCCATGTCTCATAGATTTTATATACAGGCTGGAGCAGCTTCCCTGATATTACAGGCATCACTTTTAAGCTCCGCTGTAGTTGTCTATTTGACTATATCTCTTACAAGGCAAACTCAACTTATGTTTTTCTTGGGTCTGATAGTAAGTTATCTCCTTCTATTATTATATACTCCCTCCATCCCATTTAGAAAGATACATTTCCCATTTTTAGTTGTCCCAAAAATTTGAACACTTTCCTAGATTGAACTCCAGTAACTTTTTACTTTCCCACTTTATCCCTTTATCTATCATTTCACTCTTTACTTTTTGTGGACCCATCTTACTTTTTCTTACTTTTGAATGTTAAAATGGTAAAACAACCCCTTCATCCTTTACTTTCTTAAAACCGACATGCATCTTACATTATGGGACGGAGGGAGAACTACTTTTCTTTTTAAAGCAGGGCATGCTATGTATAATATTTTTCATTTATGTAGATAGCAGTTACTAAAGAAAATCTTTATTTCTCATATATGTGGATAGCAGTTACTAGAAATATAGTTTTTGAGCAGATTTTGAAAGAGTCACATGGCATGTGTGGCCAGTGGCCTTGCCGTGATCACACTGTTTATGATGGTGGAGTCATGCCACTCAACGTTTTTGGATTTTTTAAATCTAGCGAATTCTATAAAGATGCCAATTTGGCCATGAATTTTATATTTAATAATGATAAAAGTCTAGCCAGCGTTCAAGTCATGTCAGAATTAACCCTTGCTAGCCAAATGTCAGTTCTATTCACAACTAACCCTCATCAGCGAAATTTAGACACTCATACTTGAGTAGGGTTTATCACTGACTCCTGGCATTGTCATCTCTAATCATTGTTCTTTTATATGAAGCATAACTTGTTACATATGATATTTCCCATATATGTGGATAGTTGTCTTGAAAAAAACTCGTCTCTTAATGTATGGACTCTTCATTGTAGCTATATACCTGTACATTGTGGTTGTTAGTTTGCAACATACAAGTATTATTTTTTGACGAATTCAAGTGAACAAGTTGAATCTTCATAGAAACGTAAATGAAAACTGTTCTATTTTTATCTTGTCAGGTGCTATCACGATTAGGGCACATGTCATATGATACTATAGGGTCACAGATTTTACAAACTGGAATCCCAGCATCTAAAGCAAATCTTATTGGGACTACAGAGATTTCCTTTGCAAGCTTGGCAGAGTCCATAATGTTGGGGGTTGCTATAATTGCAAATGACGTTTCACATTTTGGATTTCTAGCAACACTCTCTGTCCTATCAGTAGTTAGTGCTGCTTGGTTATACTGCAGATGGTTGGCAAATCCGACAGATACACAAAAGAGCCTTTTCACTTTTGACCCACAGTTTTTATAATATAAATGTGAGTAAATGTGTTATTTTCGCTGATAAGCATATGGTCTATACGCATTATTTTATCTAATTCATAATTCTGTTTCCCATTTCCAAGTTCTAGCCAGACTTTTCTGTTCCAAAACTTGTTTTACTATGACAACTTGAAGTTTCAGTAATTATCTTATTAAAAATGTAAGTGTTCCGTATAAGATGTTTATCTGGTTTGATTGTAATAGAGTTTGTGTGATGTAAACTACGCATCATGAGAATTCTTGTGTGAGATAAACCCAATTTAATTTGGTATTCGAGTTTAGTACGGTTATGGTTTGTTTGTTCTACGCCCTATGGTTTGCACAATTGGTTTGACCAATTCCCCCCCCCCCCCCCCCCCCCCTCAATTGTCGAGCCTGAATTCATCTGACAGTATGTTGGTTAGGTGGGGAGTGTTAAGGGTCCCACTTTGAGGATTCTTTTGCCCCAATTTGATAAAATGAAGGAAATGTGGAGCATGTTTTGATTTTTCTCTCATTCCAATGTCATTATTTTATAAGAGGGTGAAGTAGATTGGCATGTAATTCTTAGTATGTTTTGTTACTGTTGTAGAGAGCTGCAAGTTTAGAGTCCATGGATTATCTTTATCTGCATTCTCGTTGCGACCCAAGCAAATGACAAAGGCCCAGTATGCAGCAGTTTCAGAGATGGTTAATTTTGGCCTGCTGGGAGATGGAATGCTTATGAAGCATCAATGCTTTTTGGAGTATTGTGGCAGTTTGAGCAATCTTTTTATTCACCTAACACGTCCAGGTCCTCACTTACCGCCTTGCCATCTAATTTGAGATTTAAAGGAGTTGTGGTAGATGCCCGTCCCTGTACATAGAGAAAAACACTTTGGGAGTTGGAACATGGCACTTGAGAGGAGGCCGCAAGGCCCGCAATACGCTGAGATTTCTGAGTTGCTTTCTCTCACCTGGGTTTAACCCCTACGCCATCATCCCGAAGCCCTTAGGCCGATTTCCATGTTGGCATATATTTTTGGGGCATTTATGTCAATTCCAGGTTTGGCCTTGAGCATTGGTGATCGGGCAAAAAGAGTAAAGCTTTGGTACCCTACAGGTGTTCTCTCAACAACAAGATGAATTATTGGTCTCCATAGCCATAGGCATCATTGTGACAGAAGTATTTATATAATGAACAAAGTGCTGTAGATGAGAAGAGATCATTAGTGACTTGGGGCTGCCCATTGTTTGGTTGAAGTGGTTGAAGTGCTGAATGCCTGAATGTGTTAAAATCAGGACAAAAAGATGGCTGAATAAGTTGAAAACACTTCTGCAAATAGTTTGATGATCTAGAAATGAAGACAGGAGTGTAATTCCTTTCATTAACCCATTTCAGTAAAAAAAAAAACTTTTGCATGTATTATTCTTGATGCATAAATTATCTCCACTGCACGGTTATGGAGTAGAAAAATGACATTACAAGTACAAATGAATTTGCAATGAAACGTTTTAGTGTTCTTTTTAACCACATATATTGCAGAGTGCAGACATGCATTTGAGTTAATTTGTGTGCTTTACTACGGAGTACCTGTTAGAGATTCCAAATTTTGTTTGTTATAAAACTTGTTATAAAAATATAAATGAATTTTTAGGTTTACAAATCTATCTTATTAACCTCTATCTGTTACTAAAAAAAGACTTGAATTTCATGTTTTTAAAAGTTGCACTATCCCATCATGAATTTCATATTAAAATATAGTCCGTATAATAATACTGTTTTGTAAATTCATGACTGAAAAATATATTTGTTAAAAATATGTCGTTAGAGTCTCTTTTATTAAAATAATAAACAATGTAATCAATTTGTGAATTTTATGATAGCGGTAATTTGTAAATATATAAGTAAATTCTAGTAAAACTAGGGATGGACCCAACCGGTTTGGCCCGGCCCGGCCCGCTACTGTGCGGGCCTGGATCGGCCCGGTTGGTGGTAACCGGGCCCGGGCTTTTACCCGGTTGGGGCGGGTTGGGCGGGCTGGGCTTGGGCCATGCTTTTCTTGAACCGGCCTGGGCTTTTTTTCCCATTTTTTTTGTTTTTCTTGGTTAGGGCTGAGTGTTTGGGGGGGGGGGGGGTTGTGGGGGGGTGAATGGGGGGTCGGGGGTTAATTAGAAAGCAAAAAAAAAACATAGAATCGGGCATGACCTGGACCCGACCCGTACCCGGTTTATACCCGGGTCGATTCCGGTTCTCCCTTTCCCAAAAAAAGCCCGCCCGGGCCCGGGCCCAAGCCCACCCAGGCCCGGCCCAGGGCCACCCCTAAGTAAAACACACATTTCTTACTAAAAATATAAGTTTTCTGGTAAAACCTTTAAGAAAAATAAATAAAAAAGTAATGTTTGAATTTTTGTTTCTAGAATCATCATAATCATACTCCTTGTGAAGAAGTTCTTACCTTAACTTATACACATATTTTTGTATACAAATGATTTGTTTTTAAAGAAAAGTTGGAACTTGTTTTACGGATGGATGGAGTATATAGGAATGTATTTGAAGAGAGAATTTAAAATAAAAAAGGTCTGGGCACAACGGGAATGTTCAGGTTTTGTCTAGGGATGGCAACAGAGCGGTTCGGGATCGGGTATACCATTACATGTACCCGCCCCGTTTGATAATTTTTTCCCCGAAACCGCCTCATTAGTATAAATCCTAAAATGATGATTAACTACTTATAATTGACCACCTAAATTAAAAAAATCAAAATTAAGTAGCACCATAGATAAAGTTTTTTAAAACATCACAAAAAATTAGGAAAAAGAGGCAAATAAGCCCACATACTAACCAAAAAAAGTCAAATAAGCCCTTATATAGGAGGCTATGTCTGACCGTCGTCATTTGGGGTGGTTCCCGGCGAAAATTTTTTATGCAGTTTTTTGAGCATATTATTCATCAAGTCTAGTTTACTCATACCAAATTTCAGCTAAAACGTCAATCAGGAAGGCATTCAAATGAATTCTTGAAGATAACTGCACAGTTAAAAGCGCAGTTGTCTTCAAGAATTTATTTGAATGCCTTCCCAATTGAATTGTTAGCTGAAATTTGGATTGAGTAAACTAGATTTAATGATTAAGATTCTCAAAAAAATTCATCAAAATATTCCACCGGGAACTGCCCCAAATAGCGACGGCCGGGCAGAGCCTCATATATAAGGGCTTATTTGACCTTTTTTGGTTAGTACGTGGGCTTATTTGCCCCTTTTTTCCAAAAAATTATAATCTTTTAAACCTAATATTCACAAATTATATATGTCTAGATTCAAAATTATGAATCTCTTACCACATCAACATCAAGAGATTAAGTCTTGTCTCAATAGTAAAATCTAACTATGAATCACAAAAACATTTAAGTTCCAAAAATTCAATAATCATACCCCACCAACATTCAATATCTAAATTTAAGAATAGTAATGTACACAAGTAACATAATGAAAATGAGAAGTTTTTTCCTTAAATATTACTAATAAAAAATATATGGACATAAATGTGACTATAAGTTATCATAGGTAAGTTTTATAGTCACTACGATATAACACTTGAATAAAATTATAAACACTAAAGTTACTAGAGTCGCATTTTTGTCCACAACTTTTATTTTGATTATAGATTTGAAATTATTTCTAAAAAATGTACTTCTAATACTATGATTTAGGTATTCTTGTAGTTACTGTTTTAGAAACCTCATAATTTAAATTTAAAACTTGATATAAATTAGAGAAGTTAATCAAAACTAATCTAATCATCCAATACACCTCTATAAAATTATTAGCAATTACATAAATTAAAGCAATCTAGAGTAATGTTTCCCAATATTTGGACTTTAAACTCATATGTGAGCTTTATGAAAGTTATCGAGTGAAAAATTAAGAGAGTCACAATGTGAAAATTGTGTACAGAAAATCATGAAAATCAAATAATCAAATAACAAAGGAAGAATGATGAATGAAATTGAAGATTAAAAATCTAAAATAGTGAATTTTGAGCACCAACTCCTAAGAATTGCAAAGGATAGCCGATTAGTTGAATATTTTTCAAAAAAAAATAGAGGGAATAAGTGTCATATACTAATGTACTACTATTCATATATACTTAATATATTAAATAATAAATACACAAACTATTAAAATATGTAAGTTAATTGTGCGGGTCGGGTAATAGTGCGAGTAACCGTATCCAAATTAAACGGGGCGAGTAGGTATAAACCCATAACCGCCCCATTACCCGTTTACATAAATCGGGTATTCCCTGCCCCGTACCCGTTACCCGGTCAAAGCGGTTTTCCCCATTTTGACCGGTTCGATTCGGTGCGAGTACCCATCGGGTCGGGTTAAATTGTCATCCCTAGTTTTGTCCAAAACAAAAAAAAACTATATTAAAAAGAGGTTCTTTTCGGATGCAAAAAATACCACTAATTTGTAAGGTTAAAAGAACTGTCTCCTAAATTTATGAGTCCCTTTGGTAACACGAAAATCAGCTAAGCCTAATTTGCGGAAATTTATGAAGTTCTGGCTGAAGTGGCTGCATTGGTTGATTCTCTTGATTTAAGAAATTTATTTTTAAAATATATTTATTAATAAAATAAATAAAAAATTATATGTAAAAATAGCTAAAATGGTCATATACAGTAATTTCAGCCAATAAAGCCGGAAAAATAACTTCAATCTTATTTTTTCTTATTACTTCACAATCCAGCGCGCGAAAACAAAAATTACATGTTTAATGAAAAAGTTGGTTGATAAATCTGATAAGCCGAAAAACAGTGTTTCCAAACGGTCTCTATGTTGTCCCATTAAAGTCTTTACATTGCTTTTTTTATTTACTTCTTTTATACTAGTATTAAATCATCCTAACTACCTTCAGTGAAGGACCCATGAAACTTATCTTACGAGGCGTAGTTAAAAGGGAAAGATTTCAACATAAGAGTACAAATGTTCAAAAATTCTAAAATAGGACTATTATGTATTTGTTTCGAAATATGAGTAACATGACAATATTTACTGGCATCTTTGAGTAATTACTATAAAAATGGTTGCTATATTAATGATAATATTTTCAATCATGATAGTAACGACTCATATATTTGGAAGAAAAATACAACAGTCCTAATTGGAATTTCAGAACGTTTTTATTCCTAGTTTTTTTGGAGTTTTTATTCCTAGCTATTTAGTTCAATTTGTGTAGTTATAATCCTAGTTAGCTTTTTTGCATTTTAAATGCGTTTTAAATGCGTACCATTTTTTGACTAAAAACATGTTTAAAACGAAAAATAATGTCAGTCCGTTTAAAGAGGAAAAAAACTCATACTTTTAGTATAAAAAGTATTTTTCAAAAACAGGAACCTGAATTGACCAATTGAATGAATGCATTAAATGCATGGGAGATCAACAATGTTTTAAAAAGTAAAAATGAAAACGTTCTCCCCGTGATCCCATGTTTTTGTATTGTCACAATACAATTATTAAATATTAAAATTAATTGCATGACCGTTATGTTGGAAAAATGTGTTAAAAATTGCATTAAATGGTCATTTTGGGGCAATTATTTGAGTGGGGTCCACTTCCGATTTGGGTCGGGTCAAAGTGGTTTCGGATTGTCCTTGTTAAGGGCTACAATTCGATATATGGTACGCTCAAAACGGATAACGGGTGAATGAGAAATTGATTCTCGAAGTTCGCTCGTTGTAATGGAAAAACTGGGAAAATGATGAGTTTCTAGTGTGTCTTATCCCACACCGAAAAACTCAAGGGATTTTCACCCCCTTATAAAGAGAAGCCTCTTTTAAGGAGTTAAGATTCCTAAAGGGAAAGGCTCTCTCTTACGCGCAGGGGGGGGCGATCAAATCCCGAAACAGAGAAGAAAAACCGCGACTCGTGTGCGCGGGCGACCTGCGGACACGAATGCCGTCCAAAAATCTATATCTCAAGAGATACGGTTAATTTTTGTTTTCTTCCCGAACGTTTTTTCCCAGAAGAGCTCCGGACAGAAGGCCTCGGACAGAACCCCTCCGAGGGGTGTTCTGTTGGGGTCTTCTGTCACGCATTTCTTCCGTTACAACTATTAATGCCCAACGTTCTTCCCTTTTAATGCAGCGTTAAATGGACAGTTTATAGACGATTCAATGCCCAACGGACTGGTCATTGATGTCCAACGTTCAGGTCCATTAACACCCCATTTAACTCACAACAAATCCTCCTATAAATAGCTGGCAGGTGCTTTGCAACAAACACACGGTTTGACAACGCACAACACTTTCCTCACGTTTTCTTGAGCTAAAAATTCTTCCAGCTACTCCCAAAATTCCTTCTGTGTTCATACTTGGTTCTCGTTCGCTGGAACTCTTGTTTGTGTGCTCAAACATTAGTTCGTAGTCATCGTATCCTGGAAAACGATTGTTGCAACGCTCCTAGCACCGTGGGAGGCAACAAATACGTTTTAAGGAAATCGTGCGTAGCACGAGCTTTGGCTAATTCTGCTTCATCTCCTTTCTTGTTTTTCTGTAGTCATTTTATTTAATTAATTTATTTTAATTAATTTTCTTTATTTTCCGAAACACACCCAACACGTTAAAGCTAGAATCCTCAAAGAAGAAAAACTTAAAATATTGTTAGATTCTTATGTTTTTTCAAACAAGCATATCATAATTAAGGTTTTTGTGATCCTCACATTTTCTTGGTATAAACTTTTTATACATAAACAATAATAAGCGTAACAGTACAGTCGCACAACTTTTTTTACATGTCATTTTTCATCTTGATGAGAATGATGAGTTTAACTTGAGTGTTATTTGGTGATCATATAAAGATGATGATTTTAACTTAGTCTCATTCTATTGTTATTATGCCTTATTTGTTGACATTATTTTACAAATTTATGTCTTGGGCTTAATTACTATTTTTATTTTTATCATCAACTTGTGCAACTACAAAATTATTCTTTTATGTAGTAATGAGATTTGCTACTTGAATTTGTGCACGCTTTTATTTCTTTTTACTATGTATATTATTTTGTGAAGTATACAATTTAAATAATCAAAATAATACCCCATATTTTTTGCCCGAATTTTTGTAACAGATAACTTAAGAAGTTTTTACTTGGACTGTAATTTGCTGGTCTGGTCTGATCTGGTTTCTTTATATTTTTACAACTATCCAAGTCTGGTCTGGTCTGGTCTGAACTGGTCTGGTCTGGTCTGGTCTGATCTGGTCTGGGACGAATTACAGTCCAAGTAAAAACATCCTTATTATACACGTATACGTATTTGCACGTTTTTTAAAAGTCAACATTTTTTTCAACGAAATTTTGTCCGTTTTTTCATTCATGTTATTGAATAAAACGTGTACGTATTAAACTTCGTTTACTTCTCGTACTGTATTTAACTAACTATGGCTATAATTGTAAGAGTTTATTATTATAATTTTTTATATATACTCTCTCTGTCCCAGATTAAGGTAAGCACGGGATCGGTTCAGTTCTGGTCAAAATTTGATGGAATCGTATTAAAAATTGTAGGCGTTAAATTCGGTTCAGTTCTAGTACAAAATGTTTTTGCTAATTTCGGGTTTTTTCTGGTTAAATTTGGTTCAGTTCTTACCTTTTTGGTTCCATATAAAAAATTATTATCCTCCTAAAATGAACATATTTAACCTTTAGTTACATAAAAAATTCATTTATAAATATAACAAAAAATAAACAAAATATTCCTAAAATAAAACATAAAACATTCCTAAAATATTCTTAAATGTAATTGTCGAAGTTATCAACATTGTATTATACATACATCATATCCTAATGTTCAAATATCATAAAAATATCCAAGTGTAAACATTAAACTTAAACATAACAAAAATATAAAGGTTTAAAATATGCATCAATTGCCTAGCTAGCAAAATTTTTAATAGTTCCAAGATACACATCTAATAGCAGGGTTGTTCAACCCCACAGTAATATTCTTATATTATGCAGTTCAATCATATGTGTGTGTAGACGCGAGCGCACACGCATATATAGGTGTTGTACGTAAACATAACTGTTACATTTATTACAAAAATATAAATATATGATTTGGAAATAAAGTTCAAGAATTAATTTCTTTTAGTTTGTATTTTAATTATCTAAATAAATATAAATATTTCTTATTTATTTTTTGTATATATATTTTCATCTTGTACTTTTTATTATATTTTTATTTTCTATTTTTCGTAACTTTGACGTTATTAAGAGTTGGGGGCGGTGGTGGGGGTGAAATGATTGATTCAGTCTGATTCAGAGGCTTGTTAGACCACTTGAGAATGTTTTTACTTGAACTCTAATTTGCTGATCTAGTCTGTTTAAGTCTGGTCTGGTCTGGTGTGGTTAAGTCTGGTCCGGTCTGGTCTGGACTGATTTGGTCTGGTAAACGTCTGGTCCCTGTGTATTTTATAACTACGGAAGTCAAGTCTGGTCTGGTCTTTTTAAGTCTTGTCTGGTTTGGTCTAGTCTGTTTAAGTCTGGTCTGGGCCTGAAAACAGTCCAAGTAAAAACATCTTAAGTTGTTACGTCACATGCACAGTTGGCACCCTACCGAGTGTTGTGTCGGTCACCGGATCATAACCTGAAAAAAGTGAAATTGAATCTTTCTACCGGGTTCGGAGTGCCAATTAAAATGTTTCTTTTAGTTCAGGGGCCAAATTGAGCAATCCAAAAGAATACATGAGCCTATTTGACTCTTTAGCCATAAAACTATATGGAGGAAGTATTTAGTTTTGACGTTTGAGGAAGTTCGTGTGAGATATATTCGCTTTAGAGTCTGTTTGGTAACACCGAATTCTGCTAAATTGGCTAATTCTGCTGAAATTTATGAAGCTTTGGCTGAAGTGGTTGGATTGGCTGATTATGTTGATTTATGAAAAAAATATATTTAAAATACTTTATATTAATAAATTACCAAAAAAATTATATGAAGAATAGCTAAAATGATCTTCTACAATAACTTCAGCCAATACAGCCAGAAAAGTAACTCAAACTTTAGTTTTTCTTATGATTCCATAATTCAGCGTGCGAAATCAAAAATTACGTGTTTGATGGAAATGTTGACTGATAAGCCTGATTAGCCGAAAAATAGGACCACTAAACGGGCTTTTAATTTATTTGTGCTATCAAAGAAAATTGCTTCCAAATGAGGTCTTCACAAATATGGGCATAATAACTCCATTATCAATTAAAATAATACGGAATAACTATCAATTGCCCGCGACACACTTGCTACTCGCTGTCACAGTAAAATAAGAAGCAATTGCTCTAAATAAGACTAAAAATGATTAAAATTCATAAATAAGTCTTATTATTCCTTACATAAGACTACTTGTTACATTTTGCCCTTCATTTAACTAAATAGAAATTGCTCTAAATAGGAGCAAAAATGTTTTGAAATTCTAAAATAGGAGTATCATGTTTTTTATTCCTGAATAGGAGTAATCTGCCAAGTTTGGGAAAAAATGTCATGTTTTAAAGCCTAATAATGCCAAACTTGGCAGAAATTTACTCTTATTCAAAGAATAAAAGACATGATACTCCTATTTTGGAATTTCAAAACTTTTATACTCCTGTATAGGGAATTCTCTCTTAACTAAATCCTCGAATATGTCGTTGACTCCAACATCCAGATGCGCAGATGCCATCTGCGATGAAGAATTCCCAGATGCCCAGAAACCATCCGCTATTTTCCGATCTTCCAAAGCCATATTGTCCGATGAAGCCGGGTAATTTTTTCCATCTCCGTTCTCTTCTCTTCTCATTCTTCTCTTCTTCTTCTCTTCTCTTCGGCTCTCTTCTCTTCTCCTGTACAACTCTGCTTGGTCCTTTTGTTTTTTTTGCAGTTAAACACTTTCTTACTTTTGAGATTCTAAACAAATTATTTTGAATTACAAATTTTTGGATGAGAAAATAAAAGAAGATTCCAAAACTGATTTATTTATTCATTTATAATATTTTAAAATTTAAAAGATGGTTATTAATTGAACACTGAATTGAAAAAGTGTCACTTTATTTTACATTATTACTGCATCTGTCAAAATGTCAAGATCACTTTGAAATTACAATATACGGAATGCCATGTTTTTTACTTATATGACAAGTAATCTCATTTTTATTGTTGTTTGCTATATGAAGATGACATTTTATTACTTTTTTTCTTTATTATTTTTTCTCATGTTTTACATTTTCAAATTTACTCTGTTATTATTTTAATGTGATACTATATCTATATCTATATCTATATATATTATATAATTGAGAGTCACATTGGAGTAATGATATTGCCATGTGTCACTCTATTATTCACTCATGATAAAATGTCACTCTAATATTTATTCATATTTAAAATCTAATAACATGCCTTGATCACAATTATTCTCATTATGTCATTTAATACAATTATTTCCATTTATCCGTTACAAATTACAATTGTTGCTTACATTTATAACCTTTAACTGCTTTGTATTTATCAGTTTAATATTACTAAAATAAGTAAAAATTGTATATAATAACAATATTTTCATTTAACGTTTAATATTGTAATACCTATAGATAAGTATAGACTGAATATAATTATAATAATTAATATATATATATATATATATATATATATATATATATATATATATATATATATTGGTTCAAATGAGAACACCTCTTAACGTAACGTAAGATGCGATCAAGTAAAGGGTATAGAGGGTACTTATGTCTTATACTTGTTGGCAATTTAAGTAACCGATCTTTTAGTTAATACGTTTAGTGTTTTAGTAATGGAAAGTTGGAACATTAAATGGTATGATATGTCTAACGTGGGTTGACTTGTTCCTACATAGAAATGTTTGCAAGTTACAAAAGAATTATTGCTAGTTGGTAATATCATTGGTTTTTACTTAATTTTTAGAAGGAATATTCTTATGCAATCATCGATTCATCTCTCTTCTTAATTATTATTCACCATATCATAGATAGATTTTTCAATGCATATTTTCGTTTTTATGTTATATATACAAAACGTGAGATAGATACTCCTTCATGTGCATTAAAGACCAACATATATGTATACAATAAATAAATAAAAACATCTCTTTCTACTGCACAAGAACTCGTATTTAACGCACAAATCACCCAGAACCAAGATTCTTATGCGTATACAATAAATAAATATGCACATCTCTACCCTTGTGTGTTGATTCTTGTGTGTTATATACCAATTTAAGTTTTAAAAGGCTCTTATGGGTTAAGATATTATTTAGTTCTTACTTGTTGTGCATTAATTGTTGGATTTTGTGCTTAAGATACTTATTCTAATGTTTTGTTATGCATATTGTGTATTAGATATTTGTACTTGTGCGTTAGATATTTGTGATTGTATATTAGATACATGTTCTTGTGCGCAGTAGTTGGAGATGCTTGTTTTGGTTCATAGTATCCATATTATAATTATTTTTTAAAAAAATTATATATGCATTATTGGTCTCATATGAAAGATCATAAAAAATTATTTAATTTGATATGGTTTTTTAATAATCGGATTATAATTTTAAAAGTTAAATCAATTTTAAACTAAAAACATTTTATATGATTTGGGTTTTTATTTGAACCTACATTTTAGGTAAGTGGAATCCTCCCATCCGCAGCACATTAGAGAGTTTTTTAAAATTACTGTAGTGCCCTTCATGAAAACCTACGTATGGATTAGAGTTCAAGAGTATTTATAAAATGTTTGCACTCCCACTATTCATCCTTTAGTAGCCTTTAATTTATTAAGATGTATGGTTAAGATTTATTCTTATTTCTCATAATAAGGAGTGTTCTCATTGGAACCATTCCCTACACACACACACACACACACACACACACACACATATATATAGGGATGAGATCACATGCTAACTAGGTCTCCCATACAAACTACAAACTGATGTGGACCGTTGGATGAGATAAAATGATCGGCATACAATCTGAGGAACATGGGAGTGCTTTATGAAGTGAGAGGCAGACAATCTCACCCAATTAACATCCGATTAGTAAAAGGGGGTATATGAGTCATTTGATGTACTGTAGCAGGAACGTGGGTTTACTTTGTTTAGGAAGGTTTGCAATTGAAACCATTGGTTTTACGCCACCTCTCGTTTAATTAACGTCCAAACAAATAACTTCCATTTTGCATGATTAATTCTGAAGAAAGAAGAAATAAACTACTTCATGCTTAATCTTCCAATTTTTAATTAAAAAAAGGTAAATTGAATGGAGAGCTCTAAATTCCAGAATTTGCAACCACGTTTCATAATAAAAAAGCTAACCTTCCATTCTAAAAAAAGTTACCCTTTTTTATATAATTTACCATTTCTTTTCATTTTATATGAGACACAAACACATAAAATAAATCACCACACTTCTCTCCATTTTTTTATGTGTTTATCTCTCTCATGCCAAATGTGCATTGTGCATATTGTAGCATTGGAGATGCTATTTTAATTTACACAATGAAAAATTTCTTAATAAATTATCCATTTTCGAAACCTTAATATTATAAGATTGAGAGCTCTTGATTGCATATGTCAATACTTCAACATAAATTATTTGAAGCGTAATGTATTTACTTCAAGCGCATAATAAGGTTATGTGATATGCATATTGAAGTTATATAATGTGCACTTTAATAGTTCATACTCCATCTCATCATTATGGCATCTGCATTTTCAGTTCATATATATTGCATTTTAACATTATGACATGTGCATTTTAGAAGTTCAGATATTGGACTTTAGTAAGATGACAAGTGCACTTTAATAGTTCATACTGCATATCATCGTTATGGCATCTTCATTTTCAGTTCATATATGTCGCATTCTATCATCATGTCATGTGCATTTTAGAAGTTTAGATATTGCACTTTAGTGAGATGACAAGTGCACTTTAATAATTCATATATACTGCATCTCATCGCTATTACATCTGCTTTTTAGTAATTCATATGTTGCATTTTATCATTATGCATGTGCATTTTAGAAGTCTATGCACTACACTTTAGTAAGATGGCATGTGCATTTTAGAAGTTCATACATTGCGTTTTAGTAATTTGACATGTGCATTTTAGAAGTTCAGATCTTGATTGCAGATGTCAATACTTCAACATAAATTAATTGAAGCACAATGTATTTACTTCAAGTGCATAATAAGGTTATGTGATATGCATATTGAAGTTATATAATGAGCATATTAATGTCACGTGATAAAAGATGTGCATTACACACTCATAATATCTACATAATTTATATTAGAAGTAGTAGTTATAAAATATGTCAACGTTGCATTTTAGTAGTTCATATGTTGTTTTTATCATCATGACATGTGCACTTTAGAAGTTCTTATATTACAATATAGTAAGATGATATGTGCACTTTAATAGTTCATATTGCATCTCATCATTATGGCATCTGCATTTTCAGTTCATAGATGTTGCATTTTATCATTATGACATGAGCATTTTAGAAGTTCAGATATTGCACTTTAGTAAGACGACAAGTGCACTTTAATAGTTCATACTTCATCTCATCGCTAATACATCTGCACTTTAGTAGTTCATATGCTGCGCACGTTTTATCATTCTGACATGTGTATTTTAGAAGTTAATATCGTGCATCTTATCATCTTGGCATTTCTATAGTTTGGATTGTTCTCCTTCCGGTCCTTGAACTTCTGAGGTTGACCATCCATCAGACCCTTCATATGACTCACCAATAACTTGTATGAACGAAGTGACCACGGACACTTCTTGAATTCCTCTAAATCATTCACCAGTCTGATAGAGGATGCATTTATCCTCGTAGTGTTGTCCTTAGCAAGCAACACACACTCAATATAGAACAAGGAGGCCAACTTTACAGCATCCATCTGATCACGACGTTTGGAAAGTTTCAGTTTCTCAAATTTGTTCTTCAAATTGACGTGTGTAATGTCGACTGAGCCACCTAAATACTTCTTAGCAATGGCCCTACTGGTTCAGCTTCATCGCCAGATTCTTGTCCTGAAACATCACCTGCAGCTGCTACTGGTTCAGCACCCGCTGGTAATCCACTTATGCGGCAAAAATCCACATAAGTAAACTTATACAGTGTACCCCCAATGGCAAACCACAGCTCCTCATCAGGTTGCTCCTGCACAAGGTGTAAGGCCAGCATGTGAAAGACTTGGCCAGAGAATTGTGTGGGTGGGATGTCAATAAGATGGCCCCATGGTAAAGCGCGAAAAATTTCTATTTCTGTTGCAGATAAGCTGCTTTGTACCCATTTGGCAGCATTTCTAAAGTTTGAACACACCGAATACTGGGCAGGGAAGTAGTCATGACTGGGAATGCGTAACTTCAGGGCTCTGGCAGTTGGAAGAACAATAAATTATTAGGGCAGACAGACAAAAGGTGACGTTCATAGACCTAAAGTATATTCACAGACAATAAATAACACTCCAAAGGAACTTTACACCACCACACAGACAATTTATAAACATCAACAAAGGAATTACACTATGTCATAGACATAATTTCATTCACAAGCAATAAATAACAAAAAAATGAAGTTTACACCACCACACAGACAACTTGCGCACATCAACAAAGGATTTACACTATATCATAGACAAAATTTTAAATCAGCCCACAGACAAATGTTTGAAGATTGCAAAAAACCCAACAAATTAAATAATAAACCTAAAAACAAACAAAGGTTGGGAAATGATACATACCTCTCGGTCATCTCTGCCGGTGGGGTTCGCACCATTGTTGTGTGTCGTGGTCCAACCTCAGTCCGCAGCGAGGAGGCTGTTTCTTCGCACACACCTGGAATCAATCGCGAAGAAGAGAGTGTAAGTGGGGGGGTCGCTTTCGTGGGGATGTGGGAGAGAAGGAAGGGGATGTCGTTGCAGGTTTGATTTTCGAGAAGGAGGAAGTTGTTTAGGCTCGTTGTAAGGAAGAAGAGAAAGAACCGGGACTTTTGATTTTCGAGGAGCGGGGGAGCGAGTGAGAAGCGTGAGTCGGTGGGGGAGTGATCAGGGGGGAAAGAGGAGGGTAAATTTTTTTGAGTTTAAGTAGTGTGTACATTGAGTGTACAAATTGTGTGTACAAAGAGCAATTTTGAAAAATTAAACTCATGTTTGGATGGAAGAAGTATAATAATGACACTTTAAATTAAATTCAATGGGTTGCAGTCTAATAAATTACCTACCATGCACCATGCATGTTTGATCATGAAATTGAATGCTTTTCAGATGTATGTGATCGGAGGGGTGGGTGACAAGCAATACGATAATGATGTTTGGGAGCTTGATGTGATAAACCAACCGTAGATGGACGGAGATTGAAACGTCTGGCCAAAAGCCACAAGGCCGGTTTTCTCACACCGCCGTAGTTACTAATTCATCACATATAGCAATCTATGGAGGGTGAGCAAAGCTGACCAAGTTTCTGGAAGATTGCAATTTTAGTCTTTGGTCGTGTAATTAATAAATCTTTGTAATTTAAGAACTTTTTCATTGAAAAGTGTATTTTCCGGGGAAAAAAATGATGCCGGCGTCATCTTTTCCGATATACTATCGCGGGAAAGTGTATTTTTCAGGGTGGAAAGTTCTTAAATCGCAAATACTTATTAATTGTGGATCAAATTTGCAAGTAACTAAAGTTACGGAACTAATCATGAAAACGGCCAAAAGTTATGGAACGAAAATTGCAAATTTCCCTAAAAATAATTCTAAATATATAATAAAAAAAAAATAATTGACAAAAATGTGACTGTAGTGACTATAATTGTATTCAACTATTACATCGTAATGATTATAAAACTTACTCATAATAACTTATAGTCACATCTTTATCAAAAGGCTAGAAAAAACCTATGTATTGTTTATTTATTTTAAATAGATTTTACCTTGAACAATATCAATGAACTTTAATTTAAAATGAATATGTTTTTCCTTAAATATTACTCCCTTCGTCCCGTTGGAATGTTCTCGCTTTACTTTTTTGAATGTTCCGTTGGAAAGTTCTCATTTCCCTAAATGGAAAGTTATCCTACATCAAAACAGGGTCAAACAGTGCAAAACAGTGTCAAACAGTGTCAAAACAGTGTCAAAACAGTAAAATTTATCCCTGGTGAGTTTATTTTCTTAATATGTGTGTAGGTCAAACTGGGAACATTCCAACTGAACGGAGGGAGTAGTAGTACTTCATATTCGAGTAGAATTTGGAACATTATCACTATAAACGGTCATGATCACTATAGTCATCATTATGATCCCTAAATATGGGGTATAAAAACTAATATTTTTGTCTATTAACTTTAATGTAGTGATGTGGTCATCATTAATAAATTTTCTTAATTAAATAAATAATAATGTATGCACCATCCAATTTTATGCGTCTAATTTCCGTACTGGCTAGGCTTCACTTTCTAATGTCCAACTTAAATTTCCAACGTTATATTTAAACAATATACTAGTAGTATTCAAAATTATTACATCCGTCCCAATGGACTCTGCACTTCTTAAGTTATGTGAGAAATAAGAATAGTAAAAATTGTGTGGTTGAAGTTTGTGCAGATGAGAGAGATAATAGAACCACAAAAGAGTTACTTTAATGGGAAAGTGTCAGAGTTTTTTGGAACAATAAAAAAATGAAAGATGACAAAATCTAATGGGACGGAGGAAGTATAATTTATATATTGAGAAACTATACTAGAAATCCTATTGAAGCGTAGAAATCAAATTCGTGTTCAAATAAATGTGGTTATAAAATGAGAGACCACAACAATAACAAATAAGATAAATAAAATGGGTGGATGAGTATAACATAACTGAGGAATATTCATGTGCGTCCGGCCGCACCAGAGGGCCGTCCGGCCGACGGCTTTTGGCCGCATTCCGGATGGAATTTTTTGATGAAATGTTTATGTCATGTTCTTCATCAAGTCTAGTTTATCCACAAAAAAATTCAGCTCAAAATTCGATCTGAAAGGCCTTCAAATTATTTTTTGAAGTTGACTGCTGCCAAATTATACATAGAAAACGCAGTCAACTTCAAAAAATCTTTTGAATGCCTTCCAGATCGAATTTTGAGCTGAATTTTTTTGTGAATAAACTAGACTTGATGAAGAACATGCCATAAAAGTTTCATCAAAAAATTCCACCGAGAAGGCGGCCAAAAGCCGTCGGCCGGACGGTCCCTCTGGTGCGGCCGGACGCACCAGAACAGTCCTCTAACATAACTAATTAAACTCAAGTACTTTTGACTTCAAAGTGCTAAGCGAGTGAGCATACTTAAAATACTGAATCCATTTTTAGCTTCTTAAATAATGGCATAGTCATATGTATATACTAGACTAGATTTCCTACAATTGATGACTTCAAAAGTACTAAGCAAGTAAGCACAATTAAAATACTTGATAGATTTTTTAGCTTCTCAATTGATGACATAGTCACATGTATATATAAGATTTTCTACAATAATTGATGACTAGCAAATTTCAGTACACTGTGTTCCTTTTTTTGATGATCTGCAACTCAATGGCCATCTGTTTTATAGTCATTTCTTCTCTTTGGTATTGCAGATGTGGAGAGGATGAGCGGCCTCTGGACGAGTTGCTCGTTTTGCAGCTTGGAGTAGAACACGGCAATACGAGCAGTAGCCTATATTCGGCCTCTAGAGTTTCTGCAAACTTGTTTGATTATGAAGAAAAAAGATGCAAGAAGGTAAGGCAATGTATATTTTAATATCAGTTCCATGAGTTTACCTTAATGGGAATATGGGATCCATTTGGAAGGCAAAAAATATTTTTAGCAAATATTGAAGGAAATAGAGGAAGTGAATTTTGACGAAAGACAGAGTTAGCTCAAGCTCAATGAATCCATTTTAGATGCTTAATCAACTTAAAGTTTAAATATTTCTATAATATAAAGACTGAGAAATTTCAATATGTGTGTATATTTGTTATAAAAATAAGAAAAGATGAGGCAGGGTTAGCATACAAGTGATTTTTAGTAGCCCCCCCTCATTTTGTGTGTTCTAAAAATAACCTTAAATATGAGAAACGAGAAAGTCGTGATTGAACTCTACTGTTTGTAGCTGGAAGACCTGTTTAAGAGTGGGAATGATCGAAAAGGGTTACCAACAAATGCTCAAGAAGTAGATGTAGTAGCTCAGTTGGTCGAGTGGTGGGAAAAATTGGACGTAGACCAAGGTTCGAATCCCGCAGCGGCCAAAAGGGGGTTTTCAGAACCTGAAATAAGGCTGGACCTCTGATGCGCACGGGTAAAGGCCTACTGCCGCTTTGCCGACTGAGTCACCGTGATTTACTCCCCCACCATCCTGTCGGGTCGGGGTGGGGGGCCCTTGGGTTTGGGGATTCAACCTTTTTGGACGAAGTAGATGTAGTAGCGTCGAAGTCCTTTTCAGGTTGGTTTCCATTTGAATCATGTACCATAAAAAAGTGACCATTAACCAGATAGTTACTTGTTTGTCACACATTGTTGCCAAATTGTAGCAGAAACATTGCATCCCAAGAGAAGAAGAATGTTAATGGATCCTGAAATGGAGGCAGATGATCTTTCCTTCTCACGTTCTCAACGCTCATCATCTTCTTCTTCTCAGTCCGATCAAGAGCCAACGAGCGCCTTGAAGCTCAGCCCAGCTGGCCCAACCACCACTGCTGCTGCTCCTGAACATCAGTTTCCTTTGTTTCATAAGCATAGCTTCTCACCTAAGACTACCCAAACTAACCTCGTTAAGAGAGTTGGAACTGAGCATCATATTACGCTACCCTCGAGTCATATTAACGGGTTTAACCGCGTGTTATTCCCTATAACCGAGAGCAAACCTGTGGAGACCAGGCAGAACCCAAGCTTGGTAAGTAACAATTTTTAATATAAAGGGTCATTTCGGATGCGTAAATGGGAAATATGCATTACGAATAACTGCCACGGTTAACGGGAAGGTCTTCAGAGGCGTCCTCTTTGCCACGGTAAACTAGCTTACACATAACATACGCCATTTTGAGTTTATATTATTGATGATCTAATATGCTATTTTATTCATTCATCGTCTAGGGATGATGATGATGATGATGACCTAATACCGAGTCGCGGGGCCCGTCTCGGTGGTAACCACTGCTCACTACACCCGTCCCCAGTCGCTTTCAATCACGCAAGCAATACACGTGTGAAAATTGCCAATTTTTCTTCTAGGAGTCAACCTCTGCTGGCAGTACAAATGCCAAGTGATCAAGACCTTTATCAGAGGTTTCGGAGAGTTCCAGGGGGTGTTTGACTGATAAGTGTAGGATTGTAACATTTGATTCCAAATAAGGCAACTTTTTCCTGGTTTTCTCTAATAGCTTATACAAATTCCTTCATCAACTTGGGATTAAATTGTGAACCCTAACATGTAAATCCCAGCTAAGCTAAACTACTTTAATTTCTTGATTCGATCATCTCTCGTTTGTTATTACTACTACACCATTTTCTAATAAATCTCTTATGGTATCATGTTTTTTTTGTCGGAATACGCTTATACGCCCTTTATTTTACAAGATGATCTCAACATTTTTGTATCATAACCATGGAGAAATATCCAAAGAAAGTATCAACAAGCTTCTTCTTTTTGTGCAATAGCCACAATAACCAATTGTAATTGGTACGAAAACAATGAATATATCTTGTGTATGGAATTTCATTTAAGATAATCTTAAATCCATTAAGCTCACCACACATATTAGAAGTCTCGTCATATCAAGAAGTGGGAGCACTAATTATATTATAAGTACGTACTAATACTAAATTTCGGGTCGGAAGCGAGGGCACCCACCCCCCAGGACCCCCTAGGTCCTCCACCGTTTGTAGGTAGGAGACAAGGAGGGGTTGGAGGGTCTCACCTCCCAAGAAAAAGAATGCTAATGTATATAATATGTACACATTTTTTACATTTATTCTACAAAAAATATGTTGGTTTTTAAGCTTTGGACTCGGCAATTTAAAATTTTTGAGCCCTGGCCCCATTGACCATAGATTTCTGACTTCACCATTGTGTATTGTATAATAAATTAGTGACAAATTTTTAAGAATCTATGGATTTTAAAAGTTTAGATTGATTGGATGTTGACTTTTAAAAATCTAAAAAAAAACTAGGCGTGTTCAAACTTTCATTCATTCTAATGGACTTTTAAAGCTATGGATTTTTATGGACTTTTAATTCATTCGTAGTATATTAATTCTCAACAACTGTCTTTTCTCCTCCCAAAGATTTCTATGGTTTTTTTGCTTTCGTCTTCTTCTCGTCACAAGTATGCATGCACCTGATTCCAAAAATAGATCAAAATCATTTGGTTCCAAGTGTTCTATAGTTCATTGGAAAAATCTCTTCGAGTTCTAAACTCATTTTCATACTGCGTTTACAAAAAACACCAAATGATAGGTACGTATAAGTTAGAAATTAAAAATCATTTTTGAGTTGCATCCGAACAGGTGTAGTATTTAACTTGATCATATCATGTTACGTTATGTGGCGTCTCTAGCATTTTATATCTCATTGAAATGATCTATTTGAGTTCTAATACTCTTGTTCAGATTTATTTGCTATGTATTAGAAAATAGTGAATTCACTTTGAAATAGTGTAGTATTTGATTTGATCATATCTTGTTCTATTTCGTTCTATTCCAAGCGCTTTATAGTTCGTTGGAAAGATCTTATGGAGTTCTAAAACTAGATTTCAGACTTCATTAATTTACAAAATACTAAAGGATAAGTACATATAACTAGGAAATTAAAAGGCATTTACGAGGTAACTCCTAACATGTGTAGTATTTGACTTAATCATATCCTGCTGTGTATTGTTGCTTTCAAGCATTTTATATCTTCTTGGAAATCTTTTTGAGTTCTATAACTCGTGTTTATAGCATAGTTGCACACTACAGGATTCTTGAATAATATTAAACTACCAGGTGTGCCAAATCATAAGTTAACTTTGAAAGTCGGTACCCCAATCATGTTGTTGTGTAATATTGATCACTCATTGGATTTGTGTAACGAGACAAGACTCATCATAAAAAAGATGTGTGATCACATCTTAGAAGGAGAAGTCCTCAATGGTATGAGCGTAAGACAGAAAGTCTTAATACCACGATCATCTTTGACACCGTCAGAGTTAGGATGTCATTTAGATTTCAAAGGAGGCAATTTCCTATTATGACTTCTTATGCAATGATCATCAATAAAAGTCAAGGCCAGACACTGCACTCACGTCGATCTTTTATTGAAAAAACCAGTTTTCAGCCATGGGCAATCGTATGTTGTTGTGTCAAGAGTTATCAATTGTGCATGTCTCAAAATCCTCATCCAAAACGAAGATGATTGTCGGATGGATGAAATCATGAATGTTGTCTATAAAGAAGTGTTCCATAATCTGTAATGTTTCATATTGTATTAAAATCACATTACATATTACAATAAACTTACATATTACAATTTCATTTCTTAATCGTCATAATTTATGATATTTAACATTATATCCAATCAGATTTTAATGTCAATCGATAATTATACCCATCCAACAAACTCGATCATGCACCGTGCATCACACATGTGTTGTACTAGTTTACTTAATATAAACAGCGGAACTTTGTTTGGGACGGACGGAAATGGAAAATTGAAAGTTTGAAAGCGGGAGTTTTAGAGCCCGTTTGGTAACACGAGAAAATCAGCTGAATCGGTTGATTCTTTTGAAATTTGTGATGTTTTGGCTGAAGTGACTGCATACGCTCATTCTACTGATCTAGGAAAAAAATATTTAAAATATATTATTAATAAAATAAAGAAAAAGTTATATGGAAAAATAGCTAAAGTGATTATCTACATTAACTTCAGTCAATAAAGGTAAAAAAGTAACTTCGACTTTTTTTTAATATTACACATTTCAGTGCGAAAAATAAAAAATACTCGGTAGCCGAAAAAGTTGGCTTATAAAGTAGGCAAGTAGCCTCTAATTGTGAGGGAGTATTACCAAGCATACACAGAAAGCAGCGGTAACTATACGTTGACAAGCAGCGTCCCCCAAAACAGCGAAGCATCGCGAATAATCGTCCTTCAACACCTCTTATTTCCTCACGTCCATGGCTAGGGTTCCGAACAAGCATAGCAATGATCAACTTCAGGTTTTTTTTTACTTATTACGCAATGCTAGAATATTTTCAACATTTTCTCCTCTTTCTGCATTCGTTATTTCCTAGTTTTACCGGCTTGTTACAGTTTAGCTCTCCAAGCACCCATTCTTGTCAGCGCTATATTTTGATTGCTTTTTCACTGTATTTTTTTCGCTATTTAGTACATATTGTTCTTGAAATATCATACACAAGTTTACCGATAAGTTGCCAATAAAAGAAAATGAAGGGGAATGGGAAGGAGAAAGTCTCTTAAATGATAGAGGCTGTTGGAGGCTTTCGCCTTAAGTTAGCTCAAGTTGAATCTTTTATAAGCCCATATGAATTGATATGTACGGAAGAGCCTTTTTTCTTCTCATGGTAAATGATGTTTTCTCGTATGTGCATTTGTCACAATAGTTGAATAGTTGAATTCTGAATGTTAGTTTAGTATATGTGTATGATAGTTGTTGAGGTTTTTTCATAGACTCTAGAGCATGGAGATCTTTCATAGACTTGAGCAGCGTACATTTTAACCAGGGCTTCGAGGGGCTATTGAATAATCTACAGGATTGGGAACTTTCATTGAAGGAAAAGGACAAGGACAAGAACAAGAAGATGAAACCAGAGGCCCTTGGCCATGATAAAAGGGTAACTAAGCTAAATTTGCTGACAGTTTCATCATTCCATGACTAAAAGATATTGAAAGGGAAAATATACCAGAGGACCTTCCGGGGGGATTCTTTACTTTGCTAGTTGCTACTGAAAATTTTTCTCATCGGTTTTTCTTTTATAGAGACGCATGGAGAAAACTGCTAGTGAACTTTCTAGTGCTCCTCAAGCTAAAGAGAGTGAACCATCAGGAAAATCTAACTCGAGCTCAGGTGCTGCCAACCAATACAGTTATTTGCAAAAGTATGATTCAATTAGTCATTTATCAAGTCGTTTCAGGACAGAAGATAGTTTTGCTGATGCTAATTCAGAGAAAGAGATGGTACTTTCTGGCCTTTAGTTTTAAAATTGTTATGATATAGGCTGAAGTTCATGTCTGGGTTATCATGTGTATAAGAATATTACGTTTGAATTTCAAACTGCTTTATAGGGAAATGATTTATTTAAGAAGAAAAAATACAATGAAGCAATTGATTGCTACTCTAGAAGCATTGCCTTGTCGCCAACTGCAGTAGCTCATGCCAACAGGGCTATGGCTTATCTTAAGATCAAAAGGCAAGCTGTTATGCTCTTCTTATATTCTCAGTGGAATTTTAGTAGCATACTAGCATAGTTAATTAATTAAATATTATGGCAGTTTTTGTAATCTATACATGCCTTGTATTGCTTAATTTCAGATTCCAGGAGGCTGAGAATGACTGTACAGAAGCTTTGAATTTGGATGATCGCTACATCAAGGCGTATTGTCGCCGTTCAACTGCTCGAAAAGAACTTGGAAAACTAAGAGAATCTATTGAAGGTATTTTTTCATATTTTAAATTCAAAACAATGAATTTCAATGTTTTGTTGGTAATATTTTTTCCTGATGCAGTTTAGCTCAATGCAGATGCTAATATTGCCTTGAGGCTTGAGCCAGATAACCATGAGGTTAAAAAGCAGTATGGTGAAGTAAAAGCTTTATATGAGAAGGTATAACAATTACAATGTTTATACTAGCTCCTGATTGTGGTTTTTTTCTGTAAATTTTATTTGTTTATATCTGGATATATGACCTACCCTCTAGGCACTTAGGCAGCCTCCACATGAAAGTAGTAGATTTGGTTCATAGTTTGTTAATTTGAATCTTACCATATTCACTTTTGCTCAGTACATGTACTTCATTAATAGATTCTGTTGACATATAAATAAGAATAAACTTATATTTTGGGATCATGCATTATTTTGAGGTGTTAAAAAGCCCAGTGGACATTTAACTTGGAGAGGGTATATACCCCCACACCTCAAAAGAGGTTATGGTGCCTGTTAGAAATCTGCAAATTTAGAGCATGGTCATGTTTGCATTTCTTCCTCTACATCTTCTAACAGTCATTTGACTGATTTCATTCAATTTAAACAGGAAATTCTCAAGAAGGCATCCGGATCGACCAAAGGGTCAGTTCAAAAGGCACAAAAATCTGTCATGCTAAAGGAGGATATGAATACCCCAGAAGACAAAGTTCAATCCATCTCAAGTGGTTCTCTGCGGATGACAGAAATTCAGGTAACTTTTACTCGGGTTGTTTGCCTGAATAAGTATTGCTCTCCCAACTTTTAAGTTGGGAATGGCACATAAGTATTCTCCATTCTGGCTTTTCCACGGCCAATGCTTAATATTTTATTTCCAAAGAGCACGAGAGGCGTAAATTGACAATGAGGATTATGGTTATGCATAGCCCTAATTCCCTAATATTTTTCGATGTGTTACATTAAGATGGTGTGAAATAGAGCAACTGGAGTTTGCGAGCCACATCAGTTTCTTGTTGATCGAAATGGAGAGAGACAATGGGCAACAAGGATGACTAACCATACAAAAATTTCTCAAGCATTTAAATCAATATGCTTTTTTTGGTTAGATGAGAGTATGATTTTGGAAAGAGCAAAGTGGAGAGCGCATATTCGTGTGGACGATTGATCTCATTTTTCTCTTATCTCTCTCATTTTTTTATCTTTTATCTTCTTTGTCTTTATATGTTCTTATGTTATTTTTATCTTTTATCTTTCTTATGCTTTTTTATCTTTTTATCTCTTATCTTTTTTGTGTTCTTATGTTATTTTTATCTTATACATTTTATCTTAGTTTATCTTTTTATTCTTCTTATCTTTCTTCTCTTTTCAGCTCCGATATCATGGATTGATTCATGTTAGCTGACCCCAAAATCTTTTGGGAATAAGGCTTGGATTTTGCTGTACTCCCTCTGTCCCGCTAAAATTGTCCCATTTTACCTTTTTGGTCCGTCCCACTAAGAGGGGAAAGAAGCTGGTCATAGGAGGCGATCTCAACGGGCATGTGAGCCCAAGTCGTGATGGTTTTGAGTGTATCCATGACGGACATGGTTTTGGCACTAGAAATGAAGCGGGGAAGATCATTCTGGATGTTGCCTCGACGTATGAGGTGGCGGTGATGAACACTTGGTTCAAGAAAAGAGACTCTCACCTTGTCACCTGTAGAAGTGGAGCTAATAGTACCCAAATTGACTACTTTTTAGTACGGACGACTTGGAGAACTAGCTACACTGATTGTAAGGTTATCCCAGGTGAGAGTGTTGTCACTCAGCATAGGATACTTGTGCTTGATATTCGAGATAAAAAAAGGAGACGAGTTAAGGTACTAGGGGAGCCAAAGATAAAATGGTGGAGGCTCTAGGGGAATCTCCAACAAAGTTTTGCACACAAAATATTGGAGGAAGATGTTTGGTCTATTGATAATGATGCACACGTGGATGATGTGTGGTTATCAATGGAGTCCACCATTAACAAAGTGGCGAAGGAGATACTCGGAGAATCTAAAGGATGTCTGCCACAAAAAAGGACACGTCTTGGTGGAATGATGAGGTGAAACAAGCAATAAGGACCAAAAGGCTTGATGTTGCAAAGTGGAGAGCGCACATCCGTGTGGACGATTGATGTCTTGTCTACCTTTCCTCTCTTTTTTTTCTTTTATCGTTTATCTTCCTTATTTTTTTATATTCTTATGTTATTTTTATCTTCTAGCTTTTTTATGCTCTTTTATTTTTTATCTTTATCTTTCTTATATTCTTGTGTTATTGTTATCTTATATTTATTTATCTTTATTTTATTCATTTTATCTTACTTTTTTTTCTCGTCCGTCTTCTCTTTTTGGCATCGATATCATAGATCTATTCATGTTAGCCGACCCCAAATTCTTTTGAGATTAATGCTTGGATGTTGTTGTTGTTGTTGTGGTCCGTCCCACTAAGATTGTCCCATTCCAAATTTGGTAAAGTTTGTGTGGCTCTAAATCATTCTTAGTTTCTTACTTTATTCTTACTTTATCAATTCAATATCAACCACATACACCACTTTTTATTAGTTTGTGTGTCACTCCCTCTTGTCCCATTGTTAGTGGGACGGAGGCAGTATTATTTAAAACAAAACCAGTTATATTTGTACGGATAAAAAAATCAAGCCCTTGGAGTTATTAGTTCATCATCATCATCATTACCCCAGTGCCGCAAAGGCCCCCACACCTTCGGTGGGGTAAGGGGGATCGGATGTATGCAGTCTTACCGCTGTACTAAAGCACATAGAGACTGTTTCCGGATGACCCATAGTGAAAATCGCGTCGAAAATTGCATGGACTGACAACTGCTTCATAACAAAGAAGCGCACATAGTTTAGTAAGACATTTTGCTTTATTCCATCATATTCCCAAGCCAAAAAATAGTGAGTCTTGGCACCATTGCAAATGATGGAAAACCCTTGGAATTATTAGTTCCTATATTTTTTCACGTTTTATATCCTGTTCTAGTACTGCGTATTTCAGTAAAAATTCTTCACTTTAGGGGATTTGGTTTTCTGTTTAACTTGCCTTGAAGTATAATTTGGTTTTATGTTTAACTTGCATCTCCACAATGTATAATTAACAAGAGATGATTAACTTAAGACATACTACATTAGTGAAGGATATAATTATGTATTCATTTCTTGGGCAGGCTCTTGAAGCATTTAAAATGTAAACGTTCTTTGCAGGGGGGTGATGAAACTGCTTCTGGGAAACCTTCTACAAAAAAGTCAGATGCCACAGGGATGGATGTAACTCGTAATTCGTTTTTGGCCACTGCAGAGGTTTATACAAATTAACAATGATAAACTACGCTCCCATCGCCCCATCAGAGTTTAAGAGTAAATATTAAATGACTGTTGTCCTTGACTTTTTGCCCTTTATTTTGAGAGTAATTATGGGCTATGGATGGGAAGAATCGGTATTTGACATGAACAACAACAACATCCAAGCCATATTCCCAAAAGAGTTTGGTCGGCTAACATATGACATTGGAACTACAACAGATAAATAAAATAAATGATAAGATAAGATTAATAGATAAAAGGATAAGATAATAAGATAACAAAATAAAAAAACATAAGATAAAGATAAAAAAGATAAAAAAGATAAAGATAAAAAAGAAAATAAAAAGATAAAGAAGATAAGAAAGATAAAAAGGAAAAAAGATAAAAATATAAAATGAGATCAATCCTCCTCATGTTCTCCCTCCATTTCACTCTCTCCAAAGTCATAATTGAGAAATGTGATGGTGTGACCTAAAACAAAAATATATTCTGGGACCTACTTAATAGGTGTAGAAAAATGTAGCATATACATGTTATTTTATTATGTGTACATGCGGAACTGTATAGATAGGAATTAGAGTTGATTTAGGTCTCTAATTCTTAGATTAGCTCGCAGAGTAGATAAGAATAGATAGATCCTAATATTTAGGATCTGTAACAACTTTAGTTTATCTGTAAACTTGTATATATATCATTGCCGGATGGCTCAATAATACATGGAAGATTAATTCTTCAAACCTACATGGTATCAGAGACTTGTTGTTTAAAACACCATAATGGTGGACACTGAACACTCTGATTCCTCCACCCACTCACAAACCCATCATCCTAACCCCCAAATTAGCCAAATGACAAATTACCAGGCCTCGGTTAATTCATCTATGCTCATTACTGGACATAGATTGAATGGAACCAACTACCTAGAGTGGTCACAGTCTGTCAAACTGGCAATAGATGGAAGAGGAAAACTGGGATACATAACGGGTGAAGTAGAGGAGAAGAAGAATGGTGAAGATGGCTACAATGTCTGGAGGTCAGAGAACTCTTTGGTAACAGCCTGGCTTCTCAGTTCAATGGATGCATCAATTGCCAAACCTCACATGTTCATGAGAACTGCAAAAGAGGTATGAGATTCAATCAAAGAAACCTACTCAGATCTTGAGAATTCTTCTCAGATCTATGAATTTAAAACTAGGTTGTGGCAGTCCAAACAAGGAAATAGAGATGTCATCTCATACTATAATGAGATGGTATCTCTATGGCAAGAATTGGATCAATGCTATGATGCTGAAGACTGGGAAAGTGCCAAGGATCTGGCAAGACACAAGAAGAGAGAGGAAAATGACAGAGTCTATATGTTCCTAGCAGGAATGAATAGAGACCTAGATGAAGTAAAAGGCAGAATACTAGGGAAGAAACCCTTGGCTTCAATCAGAGAGGTCTTCTCTGAGATCAGGTTGGAAGATAGCAGGAGGAGGGTCATGTACAACACTCCAGTACCTAATGAGGAACCTGGGGAATCTTCAGCTTTGGTGGCCAGAAGTGATGACAACAAGAAAAAACCTTGGTGTGATCACTGCAAGAAACTGTGGCACACAAGGGATACGTGCTGGAAACTTCATGGAAAACCACCAAGAGTTGGAAAGAAGAAAGTAGAAAAGGCTCTACAAACTACTGTGACTGAGACTCAACAAGAGGCAGGAGTTGAATCTAAACAGCTATCATTCACTCAGGAACAGATAGAGTACCTACTCAAATTCATACCCACCCAGAAAATCTCCAACCAAGAAAATCCTACTTGTTCTTTTGCCCAAAATGGTAAAATAACATCATATTTCTGTTCTGAAAAACCTAAAAACACCTGGGTCATTGACTCAGGTGCAACAGACCACATGACCTACATTCCAAAGTTTTTTTCTTCTTTTTCAGCCATAGCAGGGATGGGAAATATTAAAATTTCCTCATCCATTAACCTTTCCAAAGTCTTACATGTTCCAAAACTTTCCTGCAATCTTATCTCTATTAGCAAAATAACTAAAGACCTTCAGTGTTGTGTAAATTTTTTCCCCTCTTATTGCATTTATCAGGATCTGGCATCAGGGAAGATGATTGGCAGTGCTAGAGAGGAAGATGGCCTCTATACTTTTGATGAAGGAACACAATTGAATAAACAAGGTCAAGAAAAAACTTGTTTGCAAACTATTTTCTTTCCTTGTAATAATGAAGTGTATTTAATGCACTATAGATTAGGTCACCCAAGTTTTTCTTATCTGAAAATGTTGTTTCCTAAGTTATTTCTTAATAAAAATCCTTCATCATTTCATTGTGATATGTGTGCACTTGCCAAACATCATAGGAGTTCTTACATCCCTCATAGTTACAAGCCAACTAGTCCTTTTACTACTGTACACAGTGATATCTGGGGTGCATCTAGAGTTTCAACTCTGAAAGGAAAAAGGTGGTTTGTAACTATCATAGATGATCACACACGGGTCACATGGGTGTTTTTACATAAAGAAAAATCTGAGATTGAAGAAGTGTTCAAAAAATTTTACTCAATGATCCAAACTCAATTCAACACTAATATCAAAATTGTGAGAAGTGATAATGGTCTTGAGTACTTTTCTAAGAAGTTAAATAATTTTTTTGCTGAAAAAGGGATTATTCATCAAAGTTCCTGTGTAAATACACCTGCTCAGAATGGAATAGCTGAGAGGAAAAATAGACATTTACTTGAAGTCACTCGTGCAATTATGTTTTCTGCTAAAATTCCAAAATATCTATGGGGAGAAGCTATTTTACATGCTACCTATCTAATTAATAGGATGCCATCAAAAACTCTAGGATTCAAAACTCCTATTGATACTCTTCAAGCCAGTTTTCCTGAAACTAGACTCATTAATTCTCTTCCCATAAAAATTTTTGGCTGCACAGTTTTTATTACCAACCCTGACAGAACTGCAAGCAAATTTGACCCTAGAGGGAAAAAATGTGTTTTCTTAGAAAGGCTATAAATGTTTTGACCCTATAACAAAAAAGATGTTTATAACTATGAACACTGTTTTTGTAGAAGATCAACCTTTTTTTGGTACTCATCTTCAGGGGGAGATTCCTAATGAAGATGGTAATAATGTGTCACATATCCATGAAAAACTAGAATCTCTTGACATTAATCTAGATGCACAATATAATAGACAGTTAGATGCACTAGAAAATAGTCAAGAGTCAAAAGAAAATGAATTTTTTTTTTCTGAAACAAGGAAAGATGATGAACAACACACAAGTAAGTTTTTTGGCAAGGTTTATGAAAGGAGAGTTCCAAATCACAGAATAGGGGACATCCCTGATCCTGCCACTGTCCATGAATCTGACTCAATGCCAGAAAATGACAAAGGTAATAATTTCAGTGATCTAAATCTACCCATTGCTCTCAGAAAAGAAAAAAGGTCATGTGTTAAATACCCTATCTCAAACTATCTGTCCTATTCTCAGTTATCTACATCATTTGCATCCTTTACCTCTAGCCTTTCCACTGTTTCTATTCCCTTAACCATACAGGAAGCCCTATTTATACCTGAGTGGAAGAAGGCTGTTTTAGAAGAAATGAATGCCCCTGAAAAGAATCAGACATGGCAGACTGTAGAAGTACCCAAAAACAAACCAAGGGTGGGATGCAAATGGGTATTTACCTCTAAATTCAAGGCAGATGGTACACTTGAAAGATATAAGGCCAGATTAGTTGCCAAAGGATACACACAAACCTATGGCATAGATATACAGAAACTTTTGCTCCAGTTGCAAAATTAAATACTATAAGGATCCTACTATCTCTAGCTACTAACCTAGACTGGCCTCTTCAACAGTTAGATGTGAAGAATGCTTTCCTAAATGGGAAGCTTGAAGAGGAAGTATACATGAGCCCCCCTCCTGGGTTTGAGGAGCAATATGGCTCAAAGGTGTGCAAGCTGGAGAAAGCCTTATATGGACTTAAACAGTCCCCAAGGGCTTGGTTTGAAAGGTTTACTCAATTCATAAAGAAGCAAGGATTCAAGCAAGCCCAATCATACCATACACTATTCATGAAATTCTCCATTAAGGGAGAAATTGCAGTACTAATTGTTTATGTGGATGATATAATTCTTACAGGAAACTATTGTGAAGAGATTGAAGACCTGAAGAAGAAGCTTGCTCAGGAATTTGAATTCAAAGACCTGGGAGAATTGAAGTATTTTCTTGGCATGGAGATAGCCAGATCAAAGAAGGGAATTGTGGTATCCCAGAGGAAGTATGTACTAGACCTACTTCATGAAACAGGTATGAGTGCCTGCAGACCAATAGATACTCCCTGAAATGCACGGAAACGCAGGGGGTGGGGAGTTTCCCCGTTCCGGAAACGTTCCAACGTTTCCGAGCGCAGGAAACGCAAGATACGCGGATCTGGGCCGTTTCCCAATTTTGTAAATTTTGGAAACGCGTTTCCAAAATTTTAAACGCATATCCGATCAATTTTAGGGCCTGCTCAAACGGAACAATCAAACCTTTCATCGTCCGCTCTTCGTTCTTCAACCCTAAGGCAAAGCCGCAAAGATCGTCGACGTCTTCCTTCCATCCGCAGTCCGCAGAGTTCGCCGGCTTCTCCAAAGGGCAAAGCCGCAAAGATCGTCGACGTCCTCTCATCCGCAAGCTTCCGTTCAGGTATGAAACGCACTTACGCACGCTTAGTGGGCTGAATTTTTCCTTCGAATGGGGTAAGGGCAAAACCGTTCAGGTATGTGTTCGTATTGGGAGGCTGGCAGCTTTTGTAATGGGCTAATGGCAGGCTGGCAGTTTTTTTAATTGATTAAATTTGAATTATTAAATGTTGTATAATTCAATTTAATTAGTTTTTGTATATGCAATTAAGTTTTTAATTAGATTAATTCAATTTGATTAAGTTTTGAATCTTTTGATTAACTTAGATTATTTTTAATTCTCTAGTGATGGAGGATAGTGTTAAT